ATGGTTTCAGAGCTTAAACAAGAAATCATTGAGAGCTGATTTTAAATGGATCCAGAAGTTTTACAAAATTTAATTATATGTATTTTAGTGCGGTATAAGAATTAAAACAACATACTATATGTTCTTGCAGGATATATAAAAATAACTGGCTGATTATGATCTTTTCATTATATTAAAAGAGAAAGAGATAACCCTTATAGTATTTATTGTCTTTTATTATAAAAGCAAGTTTCAAACGAATAATTCTGATAAATTCTGCTACTAATTTAATTTTATCTTATTTATGTCAACTATAAAATATCTTAATTTATCTCAATAAAATAAGCCAAAAAATTGCTACATTGATAACCATATATACATTCCTTCTATATATCCAAATATTCCATATATACATTCCTGAATAGCCGATTTATCATTACACCTGTGCACACGACCACTTGCATAACAAAGGTAGAATGAAAATAAATAGCAGTCACTGCTTCTGTGTCTAGAACAAAACACAGTGGTGTCATCCTAACAAGGGCACTAAAGAGGTGCTGATCCCACAGTCACACATATATTTCATAATATAATTTTTCATAATCATGTGTGTTCTTTGAATTTATTATTTTGCCCATGTAACAATTTTAGCATCCTGGGCATGTACTCCCTCTGCCCCTGCTGGATATCTCTCGAATTTGAGAGCGAAGTTCCTTGTATCTGCCAGCCATGGGAGGTGTGATTCTTGCACTGGCCATGTACAGAGATACAATCCTTGCTCTTGCTGACATGGAGAAGTAATCCAAGAACAATCAATCACCATCAATTGCTTTGTTCTTGTGTTTTGTTCATTTTCCATACCTATTTTCCATTAGGTGCACACAATGCTGTTTTTTTATTTTTCTCTCCTAAATTCCATTAGCCATGATCAATCATGTCAGGGAGTATAGACATTGCTACTTGGACTCTACTATATATTGAAAATGAAGTCATGAACCCCTATTTTTTTACATTTAAATGAACCCTAATTACATTTTTGGATTCCTCATAGCAATTAATAAAAAGTAGCAAAGTTTTATCAAAATTGGCCCATCAAATTTTGAGAACAAACTCAATTCTATAGGTCTACAGAAGACATGCTAGCAACCTTGGGACATCATCTGACAAGTTGTGTGATATCGCTTTGTCATATATGCTCATGCTATAACCTTGTAGCTTATACAGTCATAGACCTGCTTTTTTTTTTTTTAAATAACTTTTTAGATTCCTCATTGCAAAGTTTTATCAAAATTGATTAATCAAATTTTGAGATCAAACTCAATATTGTAAGCCACATAGAAGTGACTTCACTAACACTCCACTTAAATAATGATTAGATCATATTACTATTCATATTAATGTCCAAATGCTGAGTTTTGTTCATTTTGAAGATATCTTTTGAATTCAATCTTTCTTGCAAATTTGTGAAAGCCAGCACTATATTGATAATACTATTTTGTCTCTTATAATTCAATGAGAAAACTTATTTCAAATGTTCAAAATACTTTGAATATTGGAGTTCTCAAAGAACTATTTCTGTATATTTTTAAGCCAATATCTGATAATTTTGATCTGCAAATTACCCACTAGGCATTCAGTAAAGTGAAAATAAGATCTTTGCTGGAACAACAGCAACGTTTCTGTACGCTTAAATTAACATAATGTTCTTTATTTAATTTTCGATATCTAAAGAATCAAGTTAATACAATCAAACAGTCAACAAATTACTTGATAGAATCAATCATCAATCAATTAAAGAACATACAAAAAATCAAACGGTTTAAAATATTAATACAATTAGGGAAATTATTATATAGATCAGTGTTTTTCAACCTTTTTGAATATGTGACCCCTTTACAAGTTAAAAAAATTCTGCGACCCCCCAGGGCCATATTAAAACTATATCAGTGATTTTAAAAACTACGTATTTAATTTNAACTTTTCTGTTTTATATATATATTTTTAATTTTTTATTCACTGCTTTTTGCTTTCTTTCCTTCACTTCCACCAACACTTTCACTGGATAGAGGTTGCTTGGCAAAATATCTATCCAAAGAGGTTTAGCTTTGCCTACTTTTTAAAATGTTTCTAAAATAACTTAGGCAAATGTCATTAAACTGAGCAGCAATATGGCTAGTGTAAACCTTTCTGGGATGTTTCCTTTCAATAAAATCAGTCACTTTCTGATAATACCTCAAGATTTCCTTCCACAACAAAGCAAACACACAGACTGAGACTGATGAACAGAAGGAACACATGATCATGGCAGTGGCACTGCGAACTAATGTAACGTCATATGGTGAGTTTTTGTTCGTACCGTGGTGCAAAAATATGTTCAAATTTCATGTAATATCCTGAAAATTTCATATGCTGAAGCGTTCGTATCCTGAGGTATACTGTACTTTTGAAATTTATAAAATTTTTAAAAAATCACTCACCAATCATATCTCAAAAGGATGATAATTAAATTGTGCATCTTGCATCACAACAGGATAAATCAGTTCGTCAAATTTGGTGTAAAAGTGGATTAAAAATATCAAAAAGCACTGTTTATCGAAGAATTTCAGCAGCTCCAAATATATGAGATTTGATACCTCGATGAAAAACCATCACTAACAAAATTACACAAATTGGCAAGAACGCAGTGGGCTAAAGATCACATGCTATGGAATGACCAATGGCTCTCAGTCTTTTTCAGTGATAAAAATAAATTTAATTTGTATGACCTAATTACTGGCATGATATTAGGAAAGAAGAGTGTAGTTTTTCAGCAGGCAACTGGGTGGTGATTCTGTTAGGTGTGGCTGCTTTGGATTTATCAAATTTAGTGATTTTAACTGATAGACAAACAACTAAAAGTTATCCTAAAAAATAATTTATTACCTATTGGAGAAGAAATTGGAGGACCTAATTGGATTTTCCAACAGGACAATGCCAGTGTTGATTGTTCATGCTCAACAACTAAGTGATTCGAAGATCATAATATTCAAGTTATGAGGTGGCCAGCAAGAAGCTCTGACATTAATTCTATTCAAAACTGTGGGACATTCTTACTTGAAAAATTTATGCTAATAACAGGCATTTTACAATGGTTTCAGAGCTTAAACAAGAAATCATTGAGAGCTGATTTTAAATGGATCCAGAAGTTTTACAAAATTTAATTAAATCAGTATCTAATTGCATTTTTGAAGCCATTACTCATAATGGCAGTTCTATTTCATATTAAAACAATTTTCATCAATTTATGTTATGAACTATTACTCAAAGTTTAAACTTATCTATATTTTTGGGACATCACAAAAATAAGTATTTTGTATTTAACACTTTATGTAACTGTCAAATATTGTAAAAATAATTATATAACATTGTACTGTGCTATAAATAAACAATAATAACCACTTGCATTATTAATAAATACTTAATCTATGTTTTTATTTTTTTTAATATTATCTATATTTTTGAAACACACTGTATAAAAATAAAATAAACATCAAAAGAAATTTTTAAAAACTTTTTTAAAGTAATAGTTTTAAAATTTTTTATACTAATGCATTAATTATCTCAACACACAGCTTCCCTTAAGAGAATTAAAAAACCAAGTTATATAAGAGCATAGGTATAATTCTATATACTACTTTTTTTTTATTGTTATAACAATTAAGAAGCTCAATAAATTTTTTTAGGAACTTATTTATTTACATTTAATATTTAAAAAATGCTTATTTCAAAAAAAAAAAAAAAACTTAATAGAATGTATTGTACTTAAGATAAAACTTAGAAAATTTATCTTATCTCAAACAATGAATTAATCATTCCATTACTGGTTTCTACGTATTATTTCAAAAAAACATAAAGCTATTGGCTTTGTGTGTTTAATTATCCTCCATTAATAAAGACTATATCAATAACTGTTCCTTGTGTGATATATGTTCCTTGTGTGATATATTACTAAAAAAAAGCCAATAGCTAGAAAGAAATATTAACACCGGAGTAGATAAATTACCCAACTTCACTGCCTGTAACCGGTGTTCTTCTCCAAAGCAGAAGACTTTGCTAAACGTTTTTGAACCCAACCTAAGGACCACATTAGGTTCAAAAACGTTTGCAAAGTCCTCTGCTTTGGAGAAGAAGAACACCAGTTACAGGTAGTGAAGTTGGATAAAAGCCAACAGCTTTAGGTTTTTGAAATAATTCAAACAACTAATATTTAACATGCACAAACTTAAAATTTTATTTCTTTTGTTTAATAAACAGAAAGCAAATAAACAAATATGTGATTGATTTCTCTACTAATAGCAAAAAATCATCATCTTCATTTCTATAAGTACTTAAATAAGAAAATATAGCATCAACATATAAAATTAAATACTAGAAAACTAACTATATCATCATTTTAAATCAATATATCAATATAATTAAAAATCATAAGAAGTGTTGTATCATAGAATATTTGAAAATTTGAATTTACAAATAATAAATATTTCTTTTATTTTGGAATAAAAATTCTTTAAATATAAACAAGGAAATCTGTGCAATATTTTTCTAATGTAATAAAAAAAATATATATATATATATATAAATGCTGCTCACTGCAAACAAAATATATTTATTAAAAATAAAATATCAATACTTAATATACTGTATATATTGAAAAATTAAATATTTCCTTTTATTATATTCATTTCTAATTAATAATGCTATAATTTTTAATATATACAATATTTAATATAAATAACAAAAATTTTGAAATTTACTTAACAAAGTAATTATTTTTCCATAATTTAAAATATACACAAACTGTCATTCACATGCATTTATATATTAGATTACTGAAATTACACTTTACAAGTATTACATAATACCTGAGCAGAAGTATTTATAAATGTTAAATTTAAACATTCTTCTTTTAAACTCTTCAAAGCATAATCACAAATTTATAAAAAGTTAAACACAATTGTTATCCTTAATAACAGCTTAATTACCTGCTCTGGAAACTACGGCTAATTCTTGGTCCTTTGTAGTAGGTAGAGGAACTTGTGGTTTTAAAACAGGTGGAGATGAACTTTTTGAAGTTTTTGCAGTAGAAATTGCAGAAGGTCCTATTCCTTTAGAAGATTTTAACGTTGTGATTGCAGAGGCACTGGTGAGTGTTGGAGGAGGTAATGAATTAACATTCTTTGTAGTTTTAGGTGATTTTGCTAATGGTAATGGAGGAGGAGATTCAAGACGTTTTGAAGGACGGGAATTTGTAACAAGTGATGATGTCAACTTTGGAGTCTTTCCAGCTGTCTGAGATCTTGATAATTTTGATGCAGTTCTCTGTCCTCTGGAATGTGATAATACTGCAGGTGGGGAAGGCACAGGAGAAGAATCTGTAGATGATGATGCAGATGATGATGATGAATTCGAGGATGAGGAGGCAGATGAGGAAGATGAGGAAGTTGAAGACGACAAGCTTTCATCTTCTGAATCTGTATCGAAGACAATAATCACAATAACAGTTATCAGTCAGTACATATAACTTTTGCAAGTTAGCATAAAACACTTTTCTCAACTCTTTTGCATAATTTGAAATCATTATTTACCATCAGAGGACAGCTGTGTAACAGGAGTCATCAATGTTCCTTTCCTTCCTCTGGATCTTCCTTGTATTCCTTCATCTTTTGAAATATCATGCACTTTATTTTGTATTAAGTCACATTTAGATTTCATTTTTTGTCCTTTATCTTTTCCTTTTATTTTACTTCTTTTATTCGCTTCGTGTTCAGTATCTGATTCAGAAGAACTTACTATTAATTTTTTCCCTCTGCATTTAGTAATTGTTCCATATTTTTTTTTTGTTTTCCTAATTGATTTTTTGGCTAACCTTTGACTACACTTAACTGTTTCTACAGGCGCTTGTTTCTGTTTACTTCGAGTACCTAAAAAATTAGGAAAATTTAAGTAACAAGTAACTAAAGCTCATCAGAAATAAAATTTTTAGAAATTCTGAATCTAGAAAATAAATCTTTCTACTAGATTTTAAAACTGTACTTCTGCATTTTTAAAATATTTCTTTCATTGTTTCTCTTAATCATTTCTACTTTTTTAGTAATGTAATCTTAGTTTTATTAAATATTATTTATAAATAGCAAATAAATAATATGTAATATAACAGATTTCATCAAATAGCAAAATATTTTTAAAAATTAAATTAACTTTGATGAGAATATTAAATCAATGAATATTAATTTTTATTTATTTATTTATGTATGGAACAATTAAATGGGAATTTGAATTTTTTGTCGAATTCAATAATAAAAAGATAAGGACATAACTTCATGGTTAATCAATAATGTTATTGTAATTCAAGTAAAACGATAGCATTATTGATTAAATTTTAATAATAATGAGTCATTTATTGATGACATTATTATTTTAAAACATATCAATATATACTTTTAATTTGAAAAAAATTAAAATTTTCAAAAACCAGTTATATTACTTAAATGGAAATGGACATTTGATATAAAAAGGTATAATTCTCAAATAATTATACTCTAATATTAAATCTTTATCCCTTATTAATAATAACCCAAATAATTAAACACATTTAGTAATGTGCTCATTTAAGTAAATCATTCAAAATTTGTAAAATTCTTTCAACTAAATTCTTGCAATTACAATTTAATGTAAAAATGATGTAATCGCTTTAATGCTTAATATAGAAAATGTGAAATTTTCAAGCAATTTATAAAAATTAATGACACAGTAATATTTTAAATACAATTAAAAAAACAACTTTTTTCAATAAGCCATTTTAATTGAAACGAAGCATTAGCAAAGCCTCTTCTACGAGGCTTACAGAATTGTGTTCATTCTCAAAATCTGTTCAATCAGTTTTGATTAAACTTTGCCATTTTCCAATAATTGCAATTAAGAATCCAAAACTGTAATAAAAAATGGGGGTACAAGACTTCATTTTTGTGATACAAGGTCGTTTCACTAGCACACACGACAATGTGATATTGCACTAATTGTGTGACTTTGTTGTATTATGTTCTACAGTCGATAGCACATCTTTTATGGGTTTCACTATAGAATTGAGTTTCTTTTCAAAATTTAATGGGCCAATTTTGATAAAATTTTGCCATTTTCCATTAATTGCAAAGAGGAATCCAAAAATGTAATAAGGATCCAATTAAATGTAAAAAAATAGGAATCCATGAATTAGTTTTTGATATACAGAGGTATTAAAGTGATAATTTTATTCACTGCAGTGACAAAACTAACTCTGTTACCCTATAACAATTTCATTGAGAGTAATCATGCCTAGAGTTGAGATTTTGCCAAACATATTAGGTTTTAAGAAAATAAAAACTTAGTTTGATCCACAATACTTCAACCTACTCTCCAGCTGGGCATTTAATAAGGAAAAAAAGGGGTCTATTTTTGTTAATTTAAGTACTGTTTCAATTATTATAACAAACTGATATATCATAGCATGTAAGCAGAAATACACACTATGTTGCATTTTAAAACATCACAAAATGCAGCATATGTCATGGTAAGTTAATTACAAACATGGTTACTTTTTGACATAATCACCATAAAGATTGAGGAATTTGTCATATTTGTGGATGAACTTTTCCATCCCCTCTTCATAGAATGTTGCCACCAGTGAATTGAGATGGCCTTAACAATGTTGTTTTGAAGGTTGTCATTAGTCTCAAACCTCTGCCCTCCTAGTCACATTTTCAGTTTAGGAAAGAGGTGGAAGTCTTCTCACATTAAAAAGTTCCAAGCTGGGTGGAAGTCTTCACCACCTTTAAACAGCCAGCTTATAGCCCCAATTTAGCACTGAGTGATTTCCACCTCTTTCCTGAACTAAAAACATGGCTAGGAGGGCAGAGGTTTGAGACTAATAACAATCTTCGAAACAACATTAGGGCCCATCTCAAGTCACTGGCGGCAACATTCTAAGAAGAGGGAATTTCAAAGCTCGTCTGCAGATAGACAAATGCCTCAATCTTCACGATTATTATGTCGAAAAGTAGCCATGTTTGTACCTAACTTTTGGTAATAAATTCATTTTGTTATTTACATTTGTCTTTGTTTTATGGACCATCAGAGGTTGAAAAAGAAATAGTCTTCATATATAAATTGGAAAATCCCCAGTTTTCATATTATGGGATATTGAAAGCAGTTGGCAATTGTATACCTTGCAAGGGAATTCCCACTGAAAAAAAAAAAATTGCCAACCGTTTTGCCAGATTCAAATTTTTTTTCTACCACTTTTACTTACTAATTAATGCAGGTGCTGGTAGCCTTATCAGTTTGGAATCTAGAAAGCAAGAGTAACAAGTTAAGCTATCACTTAGAATTAGAAATCATTTATTTTTTAATAATTTCTTAATGAATAACTCCAAATAACACATTTGGTTGCAATGCTTAAGCAGTATTTCACAAGTTCTGTCATGTCAAAATTTTTATGCTTTACTATGTTCTTGGAAAGTTTGTAGGTTAAACTCAGTGGTATAGCCTACAGGAAAAAAGATCACAGTGAAAAAATTGTCACCCCAAAAAATTCTGCAAATTTTCTGTCAGTTGGTAAAAAAAATCCCCAATCTAGAAACATTGGACAGCATTACATAAAAACTGCTTTCGTTCTCTGTCACTTCCTGCTTTCCTGTCCAAAGTTACCATTTGATTTCATGATAACACTAGGCGTATGGCGCATGGGACTCCTATCACATAGGAGCTCAACATTCTACTATTTTTCCTAAAGCATGCTTTGTGATACAATTTCACACTGAATGTCAAAATAACCAGATTAGGGTTTCATTGCCACTTTAATAAAAATATTGACAAGTGGTGATTTTTGCACTATGCAGTGAGACAGACCCCTGAACCTGGAATAAGTACAGAAAGTGTGTGCTGGTTATTACATCATTTTCCAGCTTTTGGTGGTATTTTTATTTGTAAAACCATTGAAGTAAATCAATATATATTCTCTAAATAACTCACATTTAATTAGCCATTTTCCTTATAGCAAGTGGCAAAATATCCCGTGTTGATGAAAATTAATATTCAACAGGTGAAAATATAAAAAAGTAATTTTTGATGTAAAATTTTCATTGTAAATGGCAGTAAGTTTGTAATTTATCTATGCTGAGCACATATGGACTATATAAGACCAGACTTTGCCTTAAGAATAAAAATTACCAAAACAAGATAAGTAAATCATTCAAATGATTTTGATAATTAAAGGATTGATTATTTTTCTTTCAAATTAATCTACCACTAAGATAACTGTTAAGTTCTATCATAATTATAAAAGGGCTTAACAATAATGTATATGATTGAAAAAGGATTTACTAATTAAATACAATATTATTCATTTAAAATCAATTAATGAAAATATTAAGAACTAAATAAAAATGATCTTATTATAAAATGTAAGAAAATGTCTTTTAATTCTTCCATTCCATTTAAGAATATGCCTATTCAAGTAATATATGCAAAATTGTAGCCAAATAACAAATCAAACATCTAACTCAGAATTATAAATCAAGTATTTGAAGAAGGCTGATTTTATTCTGGTTAATTTTTAGCTACCATCATATTTTCAATTATATAACCCATACTGACATATACCCTTCATATAATTACCAGAATAATAAATATAATCTTTGTATTGTCCATCTCACCATACTTCTGGAGCAGCCATGGAAAACACAGTCCTTACTGATCTGTAGTACAGAAGACACCATCCCAAACAATAAATTGTTTTATTTTGTATTATAAAAAAATTATGCACACGGAACCAATTTATGGTGTGGTAAGATTGAAAAAAACGAACGTTTTCAAACCCCTTCTGTACTCTGCATCAGGTTCTAATGGTTTTTTAAATGGGAATTCACTGATTAAAAAAACCGTTAAAATTTTTAAACTGTTAGAACCTGATGCAGAGCCCAGAAGGGGTTCAAAAACGTTTGTTTTTTTGATGTTACCACACCATAAATTGGTTCCGTGAGCGTAATTTTTTATATTAACTTTATAATTACATCTAATATGAAGTAATTGAAACAAAAAAATTCAAATGAAAACATACTTCCTTGTATGATAAAGACTCAATGGGTTCCAATGATCAAGCCATAACAGAATGCTGAAATTTTGTTTTGTTCATCAAATTATTATTTAGGAAATTTTATGAAAAAATTAATTTTATTACTAACTTCTAATTTGAAAGTTATTTAATAGCTTTCTTCAATCTCAGAGCACACTTCCTAAATTCATAAAATTTAAACAATTTAGCAGCTGCCAGTTATTAAACTTGCCTCTTATCACTCTTAAACTTAAGTAATTTAGTACTAGAGGTATTATAATTTAGATAAGAGATGGCACTTAACGTCTACCTCTAGTACCAAATTACTTAGTTTCTAATTATTAATTATAGCATAATACAGTAGCCCAATTAATTATGGCAATTGTTTGGCTTAGTAAAATATGTAAATTACATTATACTGTGTTTTTATTAATATTTATGTAATCTACAATATAATTAATATCAAAAATGTATTTTTATTTGTAATTAAAGATAATACTAATTAATAATATGCCTGGTTTCAGTTAATCTTTTTATCTACAAATCTTGAAACTGATGATTGCTTTACCAAAAATGTCGATAATGTCAAAGATGACAAAGAAAACTTTCTACACACTTCAACATTTTTAGTACCACATTGTAATTTGCAAATAATTTCTACTTTTTCACAAACTGAGAGTCATTTTCTTTTCTTTACAGATGTCTTTCTCATGGAAAGGTTCATTTCTAACTACAGTATACAGTAATTTTACATTTGTAATGATGATTAGATAAATTATTGATAGCAGAGTAGGGTCTGAAGCTAATCAACAAAAAGAAAAACGATATCCAAAC